ATAAGCATATATCCCCATATCTCCTCCCTCTTGTGTCTCCCTCCCACCCTCCCTGTCCCACTCCTCTAGGTGGTCACAAAGCACCGAGCTGATCTCCCTGTGCTATATAGCTGCTTCTCACTAGCTATCTATTTTATATTTGGTAGCGTATATACGTCCATGCCTCTCTCTCACTACGTCCCAGCTTATGCTTCCCCCTACCCGTGTCCTCAACTCCATTCTCTATGTCTGTGTCTCTATTCCTGTCCTGCCCCTAGGTTCTTCAGAGCCTTTTTTTTTTTTAAATTCCATATATGTGTGTTAGCATACGGTATTTGTTTTTCTCTTTCTGACTTACTTCACTCTGTATGACAGACTCTAGGTCCATCCACCTCACTACAAATAACTCAATTTCGTTTCTTTTGATGGCTGAGTAATATTCCATTGTGTATATATGCCACATCTTCTTTATCTGTTCATCTGTTGATGGACACTTAGGTTGCTTCCATGTCCTGGCTATTGTAAATAGTGCTGCAATGAACATTGAGGTACATGACTCTTTTCGAAATATGGTTTTCTCAGGGTATATGCCCAGTAGTGGGATTGCTGGGTCATATGGTAGTTCTATTTTTAGTTTTTTAAGGAACGTCTGTACTGTGCTCCATAGTGGCTGTATCAATTCACATTCCCACCAACTGTGCAAGAGGGTTCCGTTATCTCCACACCCTCTCCGGCATTTATTATTTATAGATTTTTTGATGATGGCCATTCTGATTTGTATGAGTAGATACCTCATTGTGGTTTTGATTTGCATTTCTCTAATGATTAGCGATGTTGAGCATCCTTTCATGTGTTTGTTGGCAATGTGTATATCTTCTTTGGAGAAATATGTATTTAGGTCTTCTGCCCATTTTTGGATTGGGTTGTTTGTTTTTTTGATATTGAGCTGCATGAGCTGCTTGTAAATTTTGGAGATTAATCCTTTGTCAGTTGCTTCATTTGAAAATATTTTCTCCTATTCTGAGGGTTGTCTCTTCGTCTTTTTATGGTTTCCTTTGCTGTGCAAAAGCTTTTAAATTCCATTAGGTCCCATTTGTTTATTTTTGTTTTTATTTCCATTTCTCTAAGAGGTGGGTCAAAAAGGATCTTGCTGTGATTTATGTCATAGAGTGTTGTGCCTATGTTTTCCTCTAAGAGTTTTATAGTGTCTGGCCTTACATTTAGGTCTTTAATCCATTTTGAGTTTACTTATTTATTTATTTATTTATTTATTTATTTTTACAGTACACGGGCCTCTCACTGTTGTGGCCTCTCCCGTTGTGGAGCAAAGGCTCTGGACGCGCAGGCTTAGCAGCCATGGCTCACAGGCCCGGCCACTCCGCGGCACGCGGGATCCTCCCAGACCGGGGCACGAACCTGTGTCCCCCGCATTGGCAGGTGGACTCTCAACCACTGCACCACCATGGAAGCCCCATTTTGAGTTTATTTTTGTGTATGGTATTAGGGAGTGTTCTAATTTCATTCTTTTACCTGTCCAGTTTTCCCAGCACCACTTATTGAAGAGGCTGTCTTTTCTCCATTGTATATTCTGGCCTCCTTTATCAAAAATAGGGTGACCATATGTGTGTGGGTTTATCTCTGGCTTTCTCTCCTGTTCCATTCATCTATATTTCTGTTTTTCTGCCAGCACTGTACTGCCTTGGTTACTGTAGCTTTGTAATATAGTCTGAAGTCTTGGACCCTGATTCCGCCAGCTCCGTTTTTCTTTCTCAAGATTGCTTTGGCTATTCGGGGTCTTTTGTGTTCCATACAAATTGTGAACATTTTTGTTCTAGTTCTGTGAAAAATGCCATTGGTTGTTTGAGAGGGATTGCATTGAATCTGTAGATTGCTTTGGGTAGTATAGTCATTTTCACAATGTTGATTCTTCCAATCCAAGAACGTAGTGTATCTCTCCAACTGTTTGTATCATCTTTATTTTCTTTCATCAGTGTCTTACAGTTTTCTGCATACGGGTCTTTTGTCTCCTTAGGTACGTTCATTCCTAGGTATTTTATTCTTTTTGTTGCAATGGTAAATGGGAGTGTTTCCTTAATTTCTATTTCAGATGTTTCATCATTAGTGTATAGGAATGCAAGAGATTTCTGTGCATTAATTTTGTATCCTTCTACCCTACCAAATTCATTGATTAGCTCTAGTAGTTTTCTGGTAGCATCTTTAGGATTCTCTGTGTATAGTGTCATGTCATCTGCAAACAGTGACAGCTTTACTTCTTCTTTTCCAATTTGGATTCCTTTTATTTCTTTTTCTTCTCTGATTGCTGTGGCTAAAACTTCCAAAATTATGTTGAATACTAAGTGGTGAGAATGGGCAACCTTGTCTTGTTCCTGATCTTAGAGGAAATGATTTCAGTTTTTCAGCATTGAGGACGATGTTGGCTGTGGGTTTGTCATATATGGCCTTTATCATGTTGAGGTAAGTTCCCTCTGTGCCCACTTTCCAGAGAGTTTTTATCATAAATGTGTGTTGAATTTTGTCAAAAGCTTTTTCTTCATCTATTGAGATGATCATATGGTTTTTATCCTTCAGTTTTTAATATGGTGTATCACATTGATTGATTTGGGTATATTGAAGAATCCTTGCATTCCTGGGATAAACCCCACTTGATCATGGTGTATGATCCTTTTAATGTGCTGCTGGATTCTGTTTGCTAGTATTTTGTTGAGGATTTTTGCATCTATGTTTATCAGTGATATTGGCCTATAGTGTTCTTTCTTTGTGACATCTTTGTTTGGATTTGGTATCAGCGTGATGGTCGCCTTGTAGAATGAGTTTGGGAGTGTTCCTCCCCCTGCTATATTTTGGAAGAGTTTGAGAAGCATAGGTGGTAGCTCTTCTTTAAATGTTTGAAATAATTCGCCTGTGAAGCCATCTGGTTCTGGGCTTTTGTTTTTTGGAAGATTTTTATTCACAGCCTCATTTTCAGTGCTTGTGATTGGTCTGTTTATATTTTCTATTTCTTCCTGGTTCAGTGTCGGAAGGTTGTGCTTTTTAAGAATTTGTCCATTTCTTCCAGATTGTCCATTTTATTGGTAGATAGCTGCTTGTAGTAATCTCTCATGATCCTTTGTATTTCTGAAGTGTCAGTTGTTATTTCTCCTTTTTCATTTCTAATTCTATTGATTTAAGTCTTCTCCCTTTTTTTCATGATGAGTCTGGCTAATGGATTATCAGTTTTATCTTCTCAGCTTTTAGTTTTATTGGTCTTTGCTATTGTCTCCTTCATTTGTTTTTCATTTATTTCTGATCTGATCTTTATGATTTCTTTCGTTCTGCTACCTTTGTTGTTTTTTTTGTTCTTTCTCTAATTGCTTTAGGTATAAGGTTAGGTTGTTTATTTGAGATTTTCTCGTTTCTTGAGGTAGGATTGTATTGCTATAAACTTCCCTCTTAGAACTGCTTTCGCTACATCCCATAAGTTTTGGGTTGTCATGTTTTCATTGTCATTTGTCTCTAGGTATTTTTTGATTTCCTCTTTGATTTCTTCAGTGATCTCTTGGTTATTTAGTAATGTGTTGTTTAGCCTCCATGTGTTTGTATTTTTTGCAGATTTTTTTTCCTGTAATTGATATCTAGTCTCATAGCGTTGTGGTCAGAAAAGATACTTGATACGATTTCAGTTTTCTTAAATTTACCAAGGCTTGATTTGTGACCCAAGATACGATCTATCCTGGAGAATGTTCCATGAGCACTTGAGAAGAAAGTGTATTCTGTTGTTTTTGGATGGAATGTCCTATCAATATCAATTAAGTCCATCTTGTTTAATGTGTCATTTCAAGCTTGTGTTTCCTTATTTATTTTCATTTTGGATGATCTGTCCACTTGTGAAAGTGGGGTGTTAAAGTCCCCTACTCTGATTGTGTTACTGTTGATTTTCTGTTTTATGGCTGTTAGCATTTGCCCTATGTGTTGAGGTGCTCCTATGTTGGGTGCATAAATATTTACAATTGTTATATCTTCTTCTTGGATTGATCCCTTGATCATTATGTAATGTCCTTCTTTGTCTCTTGTAATTGATTCACAACTTTTAAAGGTTATACTCCATTTATAGTTATTAAAAATATTGGCTGTATTCCTCATATTGTACTTTATTTCCTTATACCTTATTTTATTTTTTAATATTTATTTATTTAGTTATTCATTTTGGCTGATCTGGGTCTTAGTTGTGGCATGTGGACTCTAGTTCCCCAGCCAAGGATTGAACTCAGGTCCCCCTTATTTGGGAGTGTGGAGTCTTAGCCACTGGACCACCAGGGAAGTCCCTGTTGTCTTTTTTTAGTTTCCACATATAAGTGATATGTAGATTCTGTCTTAAAATGAGAAGCCCCAAACGAGCCAATATAAAAATGAGTGAGGTTGTGGGTGGAGTCTGTGTGTGGTTCCTGTCCTGGTGACCTTGCCAGCTCTCTGCATATTTGGGTGACTGACTGTCCTGAGCTCCAGTGACTCTGCTTTGCTAGCATAGCCTAAATCCTCACGAGGAATTTTCAGTGATGAAGGGCTGTCCTGCTACATTTAAACTTGTAGCCACAAACCTAGCCCTCTACATTATGTAGTCTGATCACTAATAATGGAATGTCATCGACTTTTAAATTTCTGAGCAGTGGGAGAAAAAAAAAACCTTCCAACAGAAGTGTTCTGTTAATGAATGTGATAGACCCCTTTGTTGTTTGAAGCCAACCCTCTTGCTGTTTCCCTGAAGAAAGGGCTGTACTGGGGCTAGGTTGCACATTTCCCTGGCACTTTGCCGCACCTCCTCTTCCCCGAAAATATTTATGGATATTTGGTGTGTTAATAAGTTTAGAAGTGATTTAATGGTCACATTGGCAGGGTGAGATAAAGCAGTTCAGTGTGTTGTTCATTTTGTTTCTGGGTGGGGTGGAAGAGGGAAATGAAAGACTAACTTTTTCCTCTTTGGAAACCTAATACTCTGCTCTTCTGTTATCACTCTTGTTCTCTAGGCATTAAGTGTCACCGAAACCCTGATTAAACCCTTGGAAAAATTCAGAAAAGAGCAACTTGGAGCCGTCAAGGTTTGTGTCTAATTTGAGCACACTTGTAAACAGCAACTGTAGACACCTCTGCTGCTTGAGCGTACGCTCGGTTCACAGTTAGCAGCGTTGAAGGAGATGTTGGAGTCCACCGTCTGTTGTTTTATGTTTCAAACGTGCTTTGTCCCCTCTGGGGGAGTATGAAATTGAAAACAAAACAAAAACGCCTGGACTGGATGGTAAAACCTCTCGTAATCATCTTTGGCTGCACCTTTCCATGTAGAGTTTTAAAAATATCTTTAAGCAGACAACACGTTTACTCTGTATAGAAACATCTTATCTCTGTAGGAAGGGCAGTGATTTCCGTGCCCGCCTCAGCTTGATGGCAGACTGTAGCATCATACTAGGGTTTAAGATTAGAAATGCTGCTACACCAGCATGCCATTGAAACTAGAAAGAGAATATTCGGTTACAGTAAGTCCTCTACATACGAATCTTCAAGTTGCAAACTTTCAAAGATGCGAACGTGCGTTCGTATGTCCAGTCATGTTAAGTTAGTTGATGTGTCTGTAAGATTACTGTACTGTAAGGTTAAAAATGTTTTCTTTATTTTTTGTGTTTGTTTTTTTGTGTATTATTTGTGTGAAAAGTGTTACAAACCTATTACAGTATTATATAGCCAATTGTGTTAGTTGGGTACCTAGGCTAACTTTGTTGGACGTACGAACAAATTGGACTCACGAATGCACTCTTGGAATGCAACTCATTCGTATGTAGGGGGCTTACTGTATTGGGATGTATTTCCTTCCATTTAACACAAATTTATTGAGCGTCTGTTATGTGCCAGCATTGTTACGGGTGCTGGGGATTCAGAGGTGAGTGAACCACAGACTCTGTATTCAGAGCTCTGGGATGTAGCCAGGATTTCTGGGAATAGTGCAGGGACTTTGCCACTGGGAGCCTAGGATGTATTTAGCAACTTCTAACATCTGCTAACTAAGAAGCTTTGAAATTAACTCAGAGAAGTAATTTCCACCAGCCTCTCTTGAATGTTGTGCACGTACTTGAGGGAGAAAAAAATAGCGTTTCCGTGTTGTTGACCATTTTTGGCTTGGCCTAAGGAGACGGGAATAACTTCAGTTTTAGGTAGGGAAGAGAGGTTTTATATTTGTCTTTTCTTCCCCCATGCATTGGTGATGTGAGGTTTTTTTCTTTTTTCTTTTCCTTTATCTTTGTAAACAAACTATTAAAATCCTTTTCTACGAATAAACATTGTGGTCTCCATGGCGATAGCTATACAAATGGATCCAGAGAGGGCCAGCTTTTTAGCTGCTATTTGTAGACGCAGTTCTCCTTTAAGTGACCTGTTAACATATTAGACACTTCTTTTTGGCATGATATTTTACAGTTTTTAACGAAGGGCTGTGTTTTGAGGGGAGGTCAGTGGGGGTACCCCCCCAAGTCCTCTTCCTGGAATCATTTGCTGAGCTACATGAAGCTGGTTTGTGTCTGCTGGCTTTGTAACAGGACATTGCGGGGTCTGGCTTCACATCTGTGACCCTGGGCAAGTAATTGGCTTTAGTTTCTTACCTGTAAGATGACAGACTGGGGATCTGACTGCTCTAGTTTGCAGTTTCATGATTCTGTTTTCTCTGATCTTCATAGGCTGTCTTAAAGCTTCAATAATCTTGGTTCTTTCTCTTTGAACATTTCATGGCAGGTACTGAATGTAAACATTTCTTCTTTTTCTTACTTTACTTGGATGATGGTCGGGAAGGATAAGGGTTAGATTATGTACGTGAAAAATGAATGTGACTTAATTAATAGATGTATTTCCTTTTTATTTACCTACTGGGTTTTTAGAAATTTCTGGCCTTGAGTCTTCTACTGACTCCTTCTCTTCCCAAGATTTGCCCAGCTTCTCACGTTGTGCCCGTTCAAAGTGTGGTTGACCCTTGAACAACTCAGGTTTGAACTGTGTGGGTCCACTTATATGTGGGTATTTTTCATTAGTAAATACTACAGTACTACAGGATCCACGGTTGGCTGAATCCACGGATGTGGAACCGCCTATGTTGAGGACCGACTCTAAGCTGTACTCGGATTTTCAACTGCTCCTAGGTTGGCGTCCCTAACCTCTGCATTGTTCAAGGCTTAACTAACTGCAGAGCAGCTTGCAAAATAAATTGCCATATTACAAGGTTAAATTATTTTAATACTTTGTCTCTTGAGCTGTGTAATGGCCAAATTCTATCCTGAAGTCCCCGTTCTTTCTTTCTTTCTTTCTTCTTCTTACTTAAAAACATTTTCTCCCTTCCCCTCCCCTCCGCCGCACTTCATGGCATGCGGGCTCTCAGTTCTCTGACCGGGGATCGAACCGCGCCCCCTGCAGTGGAAGCACAGAGTCTTAACCACTGGACTGCCAGGGAAGTCCCCCATTTCTTTCTTTCTTCATTTTTTTTTTCTGGCTTCAGGTTTATGAAGGGTGTATCCTACACTCTTGTTCAGTACAGTGTGTGTGTTGGCCGTCACACCTATTGATGTTACCCGGGAGAAGCCTTTTTTTTTTTACTGGTAGTTTTGTATATTAAACAGTAGAGAAAGGTAGTTTTCTAGGTTATATAGTGATATATAAGCATCTGTCTTTTTCATTAGATTGTTAAATCTTTAAGAGAAAAACCTATGCTTGTTTCTTTATTTTCTACCAGCCTTCACTCTGTCTTACTATAACGTATTTAATAAATAAACCAATTCTACTGTTCTTCTATTCTAGAAAAACCAGGAAAGGGCTTATAACCTGGATATTTGATGATTTTCTCCATTTGTGCTTTCTAAACGCCAATCCTATTTTGAAAAGCACACGCTCTTGTTCCAGTGGTTTATTTACTTACGCAGGATACTTAAAAATAACTTAAATTCTCTTAGGTTAAAGATCTTTTTTAAAATACCGTGAAGCAGTTTTCATGTGGGGAGAAAAAGACAAAAGTCTTTAAAAGTTGACCGCAGCAGAAGTTTTTAGATACCCTTGTCAAAATGTTTATCTTTTCTTTCCCGTCTCCTTTTTCCCATCTGGGACGGTCCTGTCTTTCGCTTTTGTATGCAAGCTCTTTCAGTTCCATTTACTTCTTCATTTTCCAGCATCCCAGTGACATGTTTAATTTGTGTTTTTAACATAATCGAAACTGCTAGGTGGCTTTTGTAAACTGGATTTTTTTAGGAGCCCCCAGGACTTCTTTTCTGCTGTTTCACTTCTATTTGGATATGTTCCCTGTCAGTCACGTCTGTTTGGTTTGGGCTTCAACCTCCGTCCTGTAGGTTCTGCCACATTTTCTCATGTGCCTGCCCGGTTCTTGTCTCTGTTTAAAGAGCCCCATTTCCCACTGCGGGACACAGTCGTTCTGTGCTGTGTCCCATCAGTTCAGAGTTTTCTTCACGGCCTCTCTTAGCTTTACTTTCGCGGAAGCTCTTTTCCCTTCCCAGAAGCTTGTCACTTATTCCTAAGTATCTGCATAACATTTTGTCGATAACCATTGCTCATTAAATGTCAGTTTAGCCACAGGAAACTAATACAGGCAGCAGACGACATCGGAGCCAAGTGCATTGTGTACAAACTCCAAGAAATACTAGAACTTGCTAAGAGTTAACGGTGGGAGAATTTAAAATTGCTTTCTCTGAAAGGGGCAGCATGCAAATAATCAAACGGATACAACGAAATGATACTGATAATTTATAGAGCCTATTCAAATGTTGTTTTGCAAAGAGCTAGTTACTGTTTTATTCAATAGAGTAAAAGGTTTAACCAGAAGGCTTGAAAAAATGTTTATTTCATAAATTATACCTTAGTAGCTCAGCCATTACCAGACTCTCACCCCGTATTTCCTTTGTATTTCTTTTCAAGACTATGCCTAACGACTAAATGTTTAATAAAAACTTCCTGAGATTCTGTAAATGACTGCAAAATGTGGGTTAAAAAGCAAATTTATTTGAATAATTTCTCAAATTATGTTTGATAGAGCAGGAAAAATGTGATTTAATCACATTTCTTTCATTTTTAGCAATAACAACCTTATCAGGCCTTGGGATATACAACTATGAATTAAAACACTGGTCGGCCTTTAAGAAATTGGCAAGTCTGTGTGGGTGATGTCAAAATAAAAAAAAAGGCCATAAAAATGCACTGTGAAAAGTGCTCTAATACGAGTAAGCATCGGTGCTCTGTAGGTGTCCTATCATCTTGGCTTTGGAGCGCCAGGAAAGTCTTTCAGGAAGACCTGATTCTCCCTCGTTTGGAATCCTACTTCTGCCCCTTAAGTGGCTCTGTGATTTGGGGCAAGTTACTTAAGGCCTCTGAACCTGTTTCCTGATCTTTAAAACGAGACTTAGGACACCGGTCTCTGAACGTTTTCGCGAGGCTTCAGTGCATTTGCTAACATATTTCTGGGGTCTAGTGCAGGGCCTGGCATATACACAGTTGCAGTTCTTTTAGGATCCCCTTTGTGACATGCTCCATATCAGCTTGCCAGAAAGAACTGCGCAGGTTTTTGTCCACTCTTGGCATGCCGGGTTCAAGCACTGTGGCTTGTGACCCCCCTGGCCGGATGGTGCTAAGGTGATGGATAGGTGACTCGAGAGCAACGGCACCGGAACCAGCAGTGGCACTTTGTCAGGGTTGGTGTCGCTGCTCTATAGGCTTCTCCCTTCCCATGTCCTCTGACCGATATCTCCCAGGCGCCTACTGGGTGTGCAGGTAGAGGCTGAATTCTCATTGCCGTGGAGAGGCTGAAGGAGCTTAAAGGCAAAAGGGGGTGGGGGGTTGGGTAGGCAAATGAAGTGTCAAGGAGGACTGGTGACATTGGTGCAGGAGTTGAGGGAGGCGGCCGTCCCCCCACTGGAGGAGACAAGGAGTACTTCATGGAAGAGGTGGCATTTCCACCGCCTGGTTTGGGGGTAAAGGCTGAGTTTCCAATGCCCTGGGCTGTAGTGTGTTGGTGGACCAGGGGAGCAGAACAGGGATTGCAAAGCTCTGGTTGGCCTGGATATACAGGAAAAAGTGCTCCTGCCGAGTGTGTTGTATGTGCTGTGAATCTTGTTTCTTGTATGTGCAGCATTACTCCCACCTTTTTATTTAAATAAAGAGGGAGAAGGAGTTGGAATCTCTAAGAAAGTATTTAAGCTCCTGTCTAGACTAGTCAGGCCTTATTATTGACTGTTCGTAGTTTGAAAATAAGTCTTTTCATTTCCTCATCCTAGAAAATTTGTAAAATACCAAAAATATTTAAAAAAGAAAGTTACCTGGTAACTTAAAAATTTCCCCTTCTTCTAAAACAAAGCAAAAAATTCTAGTACCCTGCAGAAATGTGGACAGTTCACAGGTGTGTTCAGACTTTTGTGAATTCTTTATATGTTCTTTACTCATTTTTCCTTGGAAGTGTAATGTGTGATTTGAGCAAAAACTTGCTCAATAAAGAGTGTTTTATGTGTCAGGAACGTTTACTTCTTTTCTTCCATATTAATTGTATCTTCTCCCTGCCTGTTGTTTGCCTTTTGCCTTATTTATTGTGTATTTTTGATATCTAGAAGCTCTTATGGCTTCTTCCATTTCTCTTTTGCTCAGAAGTTCCTTCTCTGTTCTGAGATCTGATTGAAAATACTCTTTTTTGGTTTCATTTTTTACTTGTGGCTCTTTCAGTCCATCTGGAATTAATTTTGATTTGAGACATGGTTCTCTTTTTATTCCCAGCTAGTTAACCAGTTATACCCACACCATTGGTTGAGTAATATTTTTTTATCCAGTGATTTGTGATGAAACCTATATATATATATATATATATATATATATATATATATATGTTTACTTCTAATAGATTCAAAAAACCTGATTATTTATGTTTTGTTTCTTAGGTTTATTAAGGCCCTCTACCATTTACACCATGTACATCTTATTTGACTAGTTATGCTGTTTTAAGTAATAGCTCTTCTTCACTGTTTTTTTTGTTGTTGTTCTTGCATGTGTGATTTTATAACATTACAAGCTGACTTCCCATGAATCATCTTTAACTTGTAAACATTTTGTTTGGCTTACTCATGTTAAAACTGAAAAAAAAAATTTTTGTTGCCACCATTTAAAAATCACTGGGTTTTCCAGCTGTTCCAGAAAAATCGGAAGACAAGGCCTGTGTACTGGGCTTATATCTCCACATGGCAGAAATCTGCAGGGGCTCTGTTATGGCTGCCTGCCGTCCTAGAATAGATGTGGGCTACCTGATTTGCCCTTGCCTCCACCTTTCCTTACTGAGTTTTACTTCCAGCTTGACTCAGACTCACTTGAATAATGCTGTTTCATAAAAAAGTTTTCATTGTATTAATTTGATCCTTGATAGAGCCTTTTGTCTCATATGGCCCAATTTATTATATATATGGGTATATATACACACACACACACACACACACACACACACATATATATGTATCCTACATTGCAGTGTTGAAGAAAAAGGGCTCCATTCTTTATTGAATGCTGCTTGAACACAATTCCTTTTAAAATTCATATTATTTAAGTGCCAAAAGTCATATGAATACAAAGAAACAGAATATTCTATAGTGACCTTGAGAAGAAATGCAAGGAGAAACAATGATCTGAGTCTTAAGATTCAAAAACAAAACACAGTAGCGTTTGTATAATACCATACCAAGTACGAACAATTGTATTTCCACTCTAATTGGTGGGCGTGATGTTGTTTCTTGGCTAAATTCTTTCTTCACAGAGCCTTGATAGAACCATTTTCTTTCATTCCCAACCTAACCCACATGCTAATTTACATGCCCCACTATTGCTGCGTGTGCTGGGGTGTTTTGACTGCTGACTTTAGCATCATTGCATCCTTTGTCCCCTTCTGTGATTCACATGAAATCAAAGGAGTAAAAATGTTTTCAGTATTCTCTGGTAAGTACTAATCTGCAAAGATGGTGAGCACGTTTAACCACGTGATCTCGCTTTGCAGCGTACTTGCGGTAAATGCAGCTGTGTCACCTCCATTTCTATCTCATTTAAACCTGAGAAACTGATGCTCAGAGAATGCTGTGACCCTGGGGCAGTGTCACAGAACAATGCGTGGCTGCTAGAACCTGCATCTCTGACACCTAATCCAGTGCATGCTCTGCAATATGAACTTTTAAAAATAGTGGAGATTTTGAAGTAGTGGCCATATGTTCTTTTTAGCTTATTTTCTGTTAGTCATTAAAATCGTTCAGGAAGTGCGTCATAATGAAAAGCAGAAAAGAGAGTAACCATGTAGTATTAACGCCTTAAGCTTTTAAAAAAATAGTTGTAAATTAGACCTAGGGCATAAAGAAAAAATGTGCTTCTGTTTCAACAGCAGTTTGACTATTCTCATACATAGGCGAACCGTAGGGTCACAGAATTTCAGGATTGGATCTAAGAATGAACTAGTACAAAACCAAATCCCTGATCTTTTCAGTAGGAAAACTAAGGTTCTGTATTGTTAGGTGTTCCCCTCCCCCCCCAAAAGATGTGCAGCTAGTTGGTAATTAAACTTGGAGTAGAAATGGGAAGAAGTAACAATTCCCGAGTCTGTCTCTTCCATCAGTGTGGGGATTAATTTAGGGTCTTAAGGTGGGCTGGCAGAGCTCCCTTCCTGGCTTCTCACAACAGTTTGTAGTCCCGTGGAGTGAGAAAATGATAATAGATGTGAAGAAACAGAATTTTTGTGCTTTATTTACTCCTTTTGCTTAATAGGGAAAAGATCATTCCAGAAAAGGCTGGGAGAATCCATTATTTTTGACCTAGAAAACAGAGGTTGGAAAATAGGGAAGGGAATGTTCCTTTTCAGGAGGCCTTGGAGAGTTGGTGAGAGTTTGAAGTTAATGGAAACATTTTGACAGCATGAGGACATCGCGTGTGCTCATTGGTGCTCCGAAATGTTTATGAGAAATCTACTTACCTTTGGCAAGCAGTGTTGGGGAGATACTCTGTCTTCGCTGCTGCCTTAAAAAAATTTGGTTCCTTGTGAAATAGGGAGGGTGGGAGGGAGGCTCAGGAGGGAGGGGATATGGGGATCTATGTATGCATATGGCTGATTCACTTTGTTGTACAACAGAAACTAACACAGCATTGTGAAGCAATTGTACTCCAATAAAGATGTATTTAAAAAAATAAAAACGCACAGGGAACTCTATTCAGTACTCTATAATGGCCTATATGGGAAAAGAATCTAAAAAAAGTGGATATATGTATAACTGATTCACTGTGCTGTACACCTGAAAATAACACAGCATCGTAAATCAAGTATACGCCAATAAAAATTTGAAAAAAAAATTAAAAAGAGCTACTCTAGCAAAAGGAAAGCAAGTGCTGTTTCCAGGCAGTGCCTGAGAAATGTTTGTAATGTTAACCAAAGGATCTCGGTACAAGTACGTCAGTATTATTTTAGGCCTTGTCGACCTATTGCTAGTATTCTAGACAGTGCTAAAGAAATCATTCCTAAGGTTTGGGTGAGTAGATGACATTCCTGGTCAGAGGATTTGATTGTGATATTCATACTGGACGATTGGGGAAGATCTTTTAAGATATTTCCTACTGCCCCAGTGGTGATGATGATGATTTTTTTTTAATGTAGATCAAAACTTACTCAGTTTTAAGTGAATTCCATTTCTGGGCCAAAATCTGTACTGTAGCAAGTTTGCTTTTTTAAACTTTATGTTCTTATTATGTGTTCATCTTAAAAATATATATTTTTTTGAATGGAAGGACAAGTGAATGGCATTAATTCCAAACACTGATACGTATGAAGAGTTGAAAAATAACAGGCTTGGAAAAAAGCCCATTAAAGGAAAAAAAAGAAAAAAATAAGTGACTCTTCAATGCTAACGCTGTCTTGATGAGTAGTAAGCAGTATGGCCTGGGTGCAGATAGAGTTTCCAGATAACTCCTTCACACTTCGTGGTATTTTCTTTTATTTTGGGGTATTTTTCATATTTTGAGTTTCGCAATGGATTAACTATGTGTATGCCTTTTTTTTCCCTTTTGTAATCACAGTTGTCTATGTTTTTCTGATTTGTAGGAAGAGAAAAAGAAGTTTGACAAAGAGACGGAAAAGAACTATAGCCTAATTGATAAACATTTGAATTTATCAGCGAAAAAGAAAGACTCACATTTACAAGAGGTATTGTTTTTATTTTTCTGTTAACTTGTTTCTAAAATTCAATGATCAGTGCATGTCTTTTTTTTAAAAAACTGTGCTTTTCTTTTGAAACCATTTCATCCAGGATTATTAGAGGTGGAAAAAATGACCAGGTATCACCATGAATAAAAGAGCTCTTTTGGAACAAGATGTAAAATATAGACCTCTTAGGGTCATTAATGCAGTGTGGATTCATAGTATTAAAAGTTTTGGTTCTGAGTATATTTTCACAGGAACAGTCATTTTAACCAGCATAACTGAGAACAGATATATGATTTTCAGGAATAGATTCATTAATTGGCTTTCAAGATTTCTTGAAAGTGAATTGAATAAGCTCCTCCCCCATTTGGCTTTTATGTGAAGGCAGCATTAATCTTAACGCAGAAGATTCAGGAGTTTTCACCTTCATTGGAAAGAGAGCATCTGTTTTACTTGTGTTAACAGACTCATTTTTTTGTTTTTGGAGGGAGCTGTATGTAAGAAGAAAGGAATTTATATCTTGTCTCTCATTTTCTCTTTCTGTTTCTTAAATCCCCTGCCACCTGTTTTTCCTCACTCGCACACTTGAATGGAAACTCAGTTGTTTACAGTTTGTAACATATGCTTTCCTTAAACATAACGCTGTTTGCAGCTGTAAGGATCTTGACTCATCCCACAAAAGTGTGATGTTTTTTTCTTCCATTTGTTTGTTTTTAAACACATAAGGAATCCAGGCATGATGTGCCACTATAATATACACTTAGTGAAATATCATCAAAATGACAACATTGTAGAATAAACCTGGGTTATGTTTACATGTCACAGATTTAGTTGCAAACTCTGTGTGTGTGTGTGTGTGTGTGTGTGTGTGTGTGTGTGTGTGTG